GTCGACGAAGAGAGGTTGCTCCCTCTTCAAAGCCAGGGTGCTCCCGGCGTTCGACTTTCCGCTATTCCCACCGACGGAGAGAGGTTGCTCCCTCTCCGAAGCCAGGGTGCTCCCGGTGTTCGGCCTTCCGCTACTTCCGTCGACGAAGAGAGGTTGCTCCCTTTCCGCGATCGGAGTATTACCAGTATTCAGACGCGACGCGATTTAGCGCAGCCGCGCAACTCCCCCCCGCACGCGAATTGTAAAGGCATCCGCCTACCCTCTCGCGATGCGATTTAGCGCAGCCGTGCAACCATTGTAAATAGTAAGTAAGATAAAATAATAAAGACTTTGAGTTAGATCAAATCGAGTTACGTCAGTCTGGACTTCCCTTTCTCTCGAACCCTGACTCCGGCGAGCCGATCCGCGGCGTCGAGAAAGGAGCCCCGTACAAATAAATTATATACAACATTATTCTAAGATTGCAATAACAATGCATTATTGCAAATTCATTACATTGCAATATTACTGTAATATTTCATTACAATCTTCCTAAAGGCGGACATTTTAACGTTGTTGCAATCCCACAGCAATGATGCAACAACATTTTGCAGTAAATTTGCAATATTGCAACATTGCGATGAAAGATTGATGCAATGTGTATGCAATCTTTGTGTGCTGTATGGGATCAAATAAATCATTAAAAGTGTTTAAAAATTTAATTGTAGCTTCAGCATATTTGAAACTATCCAGTTTTAATATATCTTTACAATATTGTAATGAATCTGCGACAGATCGACTCAGTGTTTGTGCAGCTAATCTCACTTTCATCTTTTGTTTACTATAATTAATATGTTGTACTCGCAATTTATTTCCCAAATGCATTCCTTCTGCTGTCTGTAAATTATACAATTTTTCAAGATATTTCCATTTGACAATTTTGCTATCTTTATTGATAAAATTTTTTAAATCCCCAAATGCATTTCTAAACAATTTTAGCATGTGGCAAGGATCTGGGAATACTACTATTGTTTCATTTGTAATTGGATGTTGAAATGTTGTCTGCAAGGATAAAACATCGTCAAAATTACATCCTAATTGTTGCATTATAGCAAAGTTAGTAACTGTACCATCGCAAGTAACACACACAATCTGCATGCCAGCATCATGCAAAGAAGAAATACATTGCAAAGTAAGATTCTTTTTTTTTCTGCATTTACTTTGTCAACTAAGAAGTAAGCCAACGGAATTTTCCATGCACCATTTATGCACCATAAATACTAATGCCTCTTTTGCAAGAGTCATGTCAGCTGTATTTATGTTTTCACCCATATCTATATAGCCATTATATTTTTGACCATCATATTCTAAATGCTGACGGATAGCCATTTCATCAAAACAATAGTGATCCAAACAATTGATAATCGACACTATTTGCTCGTTGTCTAATAGCATTTAACGCTTCTAACATAATGCCAGGCTTTTCTTCAATGCTCTGATACCACTTAGAGATTGTTTTACAGTGTGGCAAACAATTATTAAATTCTTGACGTACATATTCATAAGCTTTCGGTGAATAATAATGTAAGGTCAGAGCAAATGATTTAAGTCGATTATCAAATTGTTTGTTTACACATTTGCCTTTATTATTACGCAATTGTCTTTCTAATATTTTAAAATTTGTCCCACCTATGTCTCGTAATATTTGTAGTTGTTCCATTTCCAATAGATTGTTTTTTTTGAGTAAATCAAGAATTGCCTTCAAAGAGATAATCCGTGATTTGCTTCGTCGAACCTTCTGTCGCAAAACTTTTATCTTTTTTGAATAAAACTTTCTTGTATCCTGCAGTTTTTTATGGAGATATATTTTCTCAAGAGAGTCATCTTCTCTCTGTGGAGACATACTTGTTGACTGATCTACAACTAAAAAATTTCAAATAATTTGTAAAACATTGTAATTTTAGAAAACATGTATATATTAAAATTGTATATATTATTAAAAGTAAAATAGTATAATATTAAAAATAAAATTGTATATATTATTAAATAAAGTTAAATATTTCTTACAATGACTGCTTCTAGGGATAGGAGATGTAGCTCTATCTATTTTAGAAGTTGTATTAAAATTATTTGAAACATGTGCAACCATATTTTCTACTGCATCTACTGCATCTACTGCATCTACTGCATCTACTGCATCTACTGCATCTACTGCAACGTGTTCTAAACAAGTAAACAAAAGATGTATGTATAAAGCGATATACAAGTCAAACTACATAATCTTGTAAATCATATAATAAATCAAAATGGGGAAAGTTACTTTATAAAAGTAATGTTATATTACTAACGCGTTATTACAAAAAGTAAAATAAAAAAGTAACTTATAATAGGAAACTTATAATAAGAACAGCACTACAAAGGTATCTTTTCCCAATTTTAATAATAATATTATTTGATACCTGTGTTCGGTAGTGTATTTGGTCGAAATCTTTTCGTATTAAATGACAAATCAAAAGCATCTTTGCTAAAATGTGCGGAGCAAATTCTAGCTCCAGGTGGAACTGACTCCATATTTAGCTTTAAAATGTCCAACTATAACATTTTTAATTTTTCATTCTTTGGAAATCTATTGAAAAAGTTATATTACATGTGTAATTTATATTATTTCTCTCATTTTGATATAATCTTAATACATGTAAATAGAACATAATTTTTTATCTGTGATATGATATTATTATTTTTCTTATTTTCTTTTAAAATCGAACGACTTGCCGTCCGATTTTTGCAATTTTTTACAATACACAGTGGCATTGTGATTTGTGATTTCTATGCACTATGTTGCACTGTGATTTTAGGTTATTCTTATTCGGTCAAAATAAAATATTACGCTTGCGCAAACTTTAGCCAATCATCAATGCGGCACCAAAGTACCATGTGACCGTAGTCCCCGCTCCCCGCAAGCGGCTTCACCCCCCGCGGCTTACACTCCGTCTCCTTATTCCTATGTTTATGGTCTCGAGACGTTAAATTCAGCAAATCTCAAGATAAAGAAGTTAAGCTGGCAAATGATGTCATATCGCTTCCATTGAATGAAGATCAGCATCAGGAAGATCAAAGGGAAATTGAGGATTTACCCCTGGAAGACCGACCAGAAAGAGCATGCGAGAACGAGAGCTCAAGAGAAGAAATTGGTCAAGAAGATGAGATGCAAGGCCGTTCCCTGAGAGATAGAAATAAAATCAAGAGACCAAATAGATATGAAGCCAATCTAGTAGAGTCAAATGAACCGACTACTTTTCGAGAAGCGATCTCAGGAAAGGATGCTGTACAGTGGACCGAAGCAATCAATGAAGAGTTAGATGCGCATGACAAAAATAAAACTTGGAGACTGATTTCTCTACCAAAAGAGAAATCGACTATAGGCTGTAGATAGGTGTTCAAACTTAAGGAAACATTGCCCGAAAGTAATTTGCGCTACAAAGCTCGATTGTGTGCAAAAGGCTTCACGCAGAAACCTGGTATTGACTATGTGGAGATCTTCTCACCGGTGGTTCGGTATGAATCAATACGGACCTTCTTAGCTATGGCGGCAGAACGAGACCTGGAGATAATGCAATTTGATGTAAAAACTGCGTTTCTGCATGGAGATCTTCAAGAAGAGATCTATATGGACGTACCAGAAGGTGTCAACGCAAGTAAAGATCAGGTGTGTCGTTTACAAAAGTCACTATACGGTCTTAAACAAGCCTCGCGGCAATGGAACTTTAAATTTGATTCTTTTCTAAAATCTTTTAACTTTGTCCAGAGCAGTGCAGATTCGTGCATATACAAAGAATATTTTAATAATGTATCTGTTTTTCTAGCCTTATATGTAGATAATGGATTGTTACTAGTTGAATCGAAGGATGCGCTCGATAACGTGCTCAATGCACTCAAAAGTTCTTTTCAAATTACTGAAGATGATCCAAGTTCTTTTGCTGGTATGCAAATACGACGAGAGCGTGACAAAGGAATAATCTCAATAATTACTGATAAGAGTTCTTGAGCATTTCTTGATATTAAATTCTTATCCTTTAATTCAAAGAGCAAACCTTTGAGATCTGTCACTTCCAGTTTCTCATTGCTTTCCTTGGAAACTTTAAATCGTTGGGATCGCAATCGCCAACGAATCGAGAATTGTCTCTTCGGATCTTTTTCGCAGAAGAGTCTCAGGTTGAGCACTAGAATAAAAGAATTGACAAAAGAAAAAATCTATTAATTTAAATTCAAATTATAAATGCAATTTAAAAATTAACTCAAATTATCCTGTTTGTTCATAACTTCTTCTGACTGTACATCTATTGCATTGAATGACACATCAAACATTGATTGTTTATGATGTATTGAGTCAGTCATGTAAACGTTTCCTCGATTGTCTCAAAACTCTCTGAAATATCTCGGAATCTTCTGAAATATAATTTATAAGTATTATGTAAATAATAATAACTAAACAACAACCCAGGTAGCAATGTTTTAATGATATCTTATTGATGTTACAAACGTAATTAAGACGTTATTAAGAGGATGCTGAAGTGACGGGCGAACTCCGACGCGAAAGCGCCATCATTTCGATAGTACTAAAAATGAAATGACATTATCGGCGCAGCCTACGGACCTATGCCGCGTAGGTCCGTGTGTACGCATTTGTTTGTAGTGGTGACTCACTACACTGACGTGTGGTCTGTGTACGTGTGTCATCGGAAGTTTGTAAACAAACGATGCTTGCGCTTGTTTCCTCGACTGAAATTTCGTTGCAAGGCTGCAATATAATGTCCGAGAAAACATAAGCGTATACAAGGTGTCAAATAAATACAAACTAAATATGA